CTCTCTCTCTCTCACACACACACACAATCAGAATCAGTTTCAGCCCGGTCCTCTTCGGCTTTCTGAAAGGGCCGGAAAATAGTCAAAAAATCCCCAAACATTTTTTTTGGATGTGGGCCATGAACGAACCAACCCCCCCCCCCAAAAAAAAAAAATATATATATATATATATATATTTTTTATTCCGGACCTACCGGACCAGACGTCTGCCCGGACATCCAGACGCGGACGGTCCGGAATGGGTTCCGGACGTCCGGACGGTAACCATGGTATGAACTACTATTGACTCGAGCGGTCCCGAACAATCAACCATGGCACGATTATGCTCAGTGGACCCACGCGATCTCATGTTGTTGTGTTTCGTTCAGACACCCGGGATCATTCTCTGGCCTCAAGTCTTAAAACAGCAAATGCTCCTGGCACTACCGGCAGGTCGGCCTGATCCTGATACTTGCAGGGGCCTGTATCTTTGATGCTGTCTGGAAATTAGATGGCGCTGCACAGCGTGCATCACTATGCCAATCTCTAAGGCCCAAAAATTGTGGGTCAGTCGGGTTTCCGGGTCTCAGAATTTTGCATTGTCCCTTGACTTTTCCCAGCACAACATCAACTTTGACACCCTGTCAGCCGACTGGGCCTCAAAGCTCCAAGTAGGCTAAAAATAGCACCATGACTTTTCCATCGTGTCATGCACGTCGCACGATGATGTGGAAAACCACAGGCCGATGCTATGTGGGCAAATTGCCACAGCTGAAGGACCACGAGGAGGAGGCAGAGGAGGAGAAGGAAAAGGAGGACGACGAGGAGGACGAGAAGGAGGCAGAGGAGCAATAGCACAGCGAGGTTGGAGGGGTGCTGTGAATCAAAGTAGGCTACGCAGCAGCACGCTCAACAAGGAGGAGTACGAGCCACATGAAAGGAGGAGGAGGAGGAGAACCAAAGATGACGATAAAGAAGAAGGAGACAATACTCCTAGATGCCCGACATCTTTGATGCAGATGGAGTTGCAATGGGAAGACTAATTAGTAATTCCACATTTACTCTCAATCAGTCAGCTAACACCACTGACGGTGGCATGCAGATGCATGCCATCAGCCCCTCATGCTCTTGTGAGAGGCTTTACATTCCAGCACCAGACTGGCACATACTGAAACTCACTGTCTCCTGTGTCTGAGTTCCATCCATCACATTCCATGGTGAGAGGTGTTTGAGGTTGGAAGTGTTTTTTTCCTTCAAATTTTAGATGTGGCCTGGTCTTCTTTCTGACATTAGGCACAGTGATAGAAACAAACCAGTTTGCCTCTTGATTGCCTCTGAGATCTTAAGAGGGGTTACCTCCTAAGGTACCTACAACCAACAGCCTGCTAGGGAAAGACATATAATCCATGGTTGACTCAGAAAGACTGAAGTATCTTCCTACCTTTGCACTTCCTTCACCCAGCCGCAAAAATTGGAATGCTTGATTGGCTCAGAATGACAAGCGGGCACCGACGGGCCTAGCTCAGTCGGTACACCCTCAAACTGTTGAAATACAGACCCAAGTTCGTATCCAGACGCAATCAGATGAACAGAATGACAAGCGGGAGGGGGGCGGTGCAGGTAGGAATTGAAGTCAGCTAGATACAATTATTCCAAACAAGAAAACAGAGGTCCACCTCCTTTTTTTTTCCCAGTGCGAGGTATGTATCAAATTACATCTGTATAGATCGATATTACCTCTCCTTCAGCCCGTGTGGCTGAATAGTATACACATGTACCTCTTAATGAACAGGTCATGAGTTTGAATCCCGACAGATGAGATATTAGTATATTACCTTCCCTTGCACCTTCTGGATCACGTGATCTTGGCATCCCATAGACATAATCAGGAGGGGGGAGCTTCATCGTCACTTGCCGTACCTGTACTCAAGGGGGTTGAGCAACTCTCCCATCTCCTCCACACATCACAGGACGCCATAAACCAACCATCCACATAAAAGACAAAATAAAAGGGTATCCCTGTGACCAAAAGTTCTAAATTCACAGGCAACTCAGAGCAAGGCACATCTGTGATGTGTTAAGGCCAGGCCACACTGCGGTTACAAATTGTACTTAAGTACGGAACAACACAGACCTTGTCAAAATGCAGACCAGGTACAGGTAACATAGACCTTGTCAAAATGCAGACTAGGTTCTCCCTAGTGTAGCACAATTATGGTCCAGTGGAGCTTGGCCCTGGTAGTACATATAGGCTGGGATTTCACTTTCCCAATGCGGGAGGACGGGAAGAAAGGGAGAGGGGAATGAGCAATCCGTTAATAAGCGGCTTACCATGTCAACGAACACTGCGCCAATGCGACCCATGTTCCTGCCCTTGCTCTCCTGATCCACAGCCAGAAGCCTTATGGCTTCTGCGTACATGCATCAAGAGTTTCGGCAACCAAGTTTCCTAGCACTCTGACAAGTGATGGGTGTGCTAATACACAGCTCATTGCCCGTCAGATAGTGCCGAGAACAAAACCAACCTCTTACGGTTTGACCCGCAGGGGAACAGCTCCATTGATTTGTCTGTCACACAGCGTAGTGCAAAGCTCCTTATGGTGTCCAATGAATGATAATCCCAACAACCATTATCGCCCTCATTATCATCATCATCATCACCATTTTCATCATACTCGTCATCACCATCAGCTTCACACCATCAGCTTCACACCATCAGCATTAGCACAAATATCACCATGACTTCTTCTTCTTCTTCTTCTTCTTCTTCTTCTTCGTCGCCGTCGTCGTCGTCGCCGTCGTCGTCCTCCTCCTCCTCCTCCTCCTCCTCACCTTCGTCTTCTTCTTCATCTTCTTTTTCCTCGCCTTTTTTTTTTCGCTTTCATATTCTTCGTCTTCCTCCTCCTACCACTCTTCCTCCCCTTCCTCCTGCTGCTACTATTCTTTCTCCCGAATCTCACCCTCTTCCTTCTCACTTTCCTTCTCATTCCTTGTTTTGGTTGATGTTCTTTTCGCAGAGGGCTGTTCCATCTTTGACTTTCCATCATTCATCAGTGTATTCCTTATTTTCTTTTTTCAAGCACCGTTACATCTTAGCTTCCCATTGCTTCCCAGTGGGAGTAAATCCACCTATCATTAACTTTTATCCCAGCTTGCCATCTATCCCAATGGTAAGGTTAGAAGGTTAGCTACATGATCATAAATCCACCTGTCGTCAGTTTCGTTCTTCGCAAGGCAAGAGCTGGACAGTTGAGACAGTCAACAGTTCAGAGTTCCGGTCACCAAGACAGATAGTTTTGGGGTTCACGAGTGCGACTTGGGTTATAGAAGGTGACACTACCACAGCCTGGCGGCTGCCTCACAAGGTTATTCTAGGAATTATTTCAGAGGAAATTGCTTGTAGAAAATTTATGAGCTTAGTCTGAAAATCCCTAAGTGTTGGATATGCTCTTACGTTCTTGCGAACGCCTCTACTATGTAACATTACATTACATCCTCGTCGCCAAACTCACCTGACTCCGGTTTGTACAAGATACATGCAGTTTTGGGAGGTCACAAATGCACAATACATGAAGTTTTGGGGGTTACAAATTCACAATACATGTCCTTTGGGCACTAGCGTTAACTCATAGCAGTAGTGAGGCTCAAACCGCGGTTATGTCCCCCTCGACTACTCGTTAGAGCTCTATAACGGCGTTCGACTGGAACACAAAGTGCTCATGTCATCATGAAAAAATAGTAAAATGCACATAGCATTACTCCGGAAGACCCCACACCCATCATTTTTTTTCTGGATCATTTAAACTTGCTTTGAGTTCAAATAACGTCATAACTTATAATTGGATTTAGAAGTCAGGTATAGGTATTCTTCATCCCAGCCAGACAACCTCCTAAGAGATGGGAAGTAGAGGGGAACTAGTACGAACAACCCTTTACGACGATAGCAATGCGATCCTTTCCTCCCGTTCACTGCAACTTTTTACGGGACCGAAAAAGGGTAGGTAAAGTCGGGAGTTAGGGTAGATAAAGAGGGGAGTTATTTCAGGTTGGGGTCCTTGCAGCTGTCTGCAAAGCGGGGAAAGAGGGGTCCTTTTAGCCATATCTAGCGCAACATTCAGGCCACATACAGTAATCATAATTGCCATGTTCTGTTCTTGGTGGAGTAAGGTTAGTTGTTCAAGGAATTCATCATTCTGCACATGGCCACACTAGGTTGAAGAACCAAACTGAATAGTGCTGCTAAGGTTTTCGGTCGTTTCTATTTTTCACTTTCCACAAGTTTCCACTATGGGTGGGACTCGATCCTGCGACTCTTACATGTCCAAGGCCGTGAAGTGGCAGCTGCACCAGCTCAATCTCATTCGATTTCTTTTTCTTTTTAATTCTTGATTTATGCGTGTCATCCTTGTGCAGCGGCCATTCAATTTCGAGTTGGATAAGAAAGAGTTGCAAACACGAAGTGGTCCATTGCACCAAGAGTCCATTGATAATGGTGACCTAATTTCCTGGAGTCTTAGGTTACAGAAACATTTGAATCAAATCCATACGATAAAATAGAGGACGCAAAGTTGCAAACATAAATAATAAATATAGTTTCTAAAAAGAACCATATGAGGCGAAAGTCTCACGTATCGTTCGGAAGCTGAGCCATATCAGCAATGAGATGGCTTAGGTCAAAACAATCGTTTGTTTTTTTTTTGTCTTCCTTACTTGTAGTGGCTTACCTTGCCGAGCATCGGCCGGACCAGCATGACGTTGGACTCCTGCGACTTTCGGATGACCCCCACTCGAAAGTTCTCCGGCAAATCCCTTGTGTTTATTTCCATGGGCGGAGGACTGCCTATTCCCTGTGAGTGCCAATCCCCTTTGGCAGCAGGTGGGGAGATTTGTGGCGGGCGTTGTGGCGAGGCTCCTGGAACATATGTGTCTCCTTTGCAACCACGCGGAGAGAGTTGTGGTGGGCGCGGTGGCGGAGCACCCTGAACGTGTGGGAGCACAACCGACTCACCCATTTTTTATCAAGTGTCAGAGCGCCTAACTTGCCACGCCGCAACCCCCTCGATCAAGTGTCAGAGCGCCTAACTTGCCACACGGCGACCCCCTTGGCACCCTCGGCTCGCAAAGAGAATGATGTCACCTCAAAAAAGGGATAATCTGAATGACCTTAATTGGAGACCCAGGGGTGCTGGTCACTTCAACCCCCTGGATTTTGAAAGGCCTTCAACAGCTGCTGCCGAATTCTGAAGTCTATCGTCACCTGCCTTAATCTACAAAACATTTTCAGCAGGCGGCTGTTCTTAAGTCTACAACCAAAATGGCACCTTTTTGCATGTTAAAGAGAGTGCTCCCTACCCTGTTCCTCTGCTACTTCGTCATGAAGAGGGCGTCTCCTACCTCTGTTCTTCTACAGCCACAAAAAGGGGACCCTTGCTCTATGATGCAAGGAGTCCTTTTGCGACCAAAAGGACCTCTCTGGATGGCCAAGTGAGTGTCCTCTCAGTGACAACCCCAAGGCGCAGGTTGCAAATGGACACAGACTCACTTGTGCATGCACATGCACGGACGTCCGACGTAAGGGACCTTTCGGCGTTTCACAATCACTCCTTCATGCCGCATTTCCTTCCACTTCCAAAATAGCGCCATTCATGCTCCTCTTGTCCTCAAATGTACCAGGCCAGTCGAATCCGAAGGCCACATCCTATGCTGGCAATGTGGCATCTACGCTAGATTTCCCAGACTGACTACTGTCTTCACCCGAAGAGAACGCCTGGTAATTATGGCCGTATCTGGACTGAAAGCTGCGTCAAATAGAGCTATAATGACCGGGCGTTCTATTCGGGTGAAGACGGTAGGGTGACCTCCTCCTGCGTATCCTCAACCTTCAAGTTGTCAATTCCTCTCTCCTTCATATTGTGAACTGCCCAAAACTAACACCGCATTTTCTTACGTGGTGTCTCTATCTCCCTCTCGCATTTGACCCCTTCCTTCATATTAGGAACTTCCCACGACTGAGCAATGAGGCTAGCTATGTTGCATGAGCCCGTCTGCTTCATGTTCTGAAAGCAACAGTTTCCCACTCCTTGCCATTAAGCAGAACAGTGTCCTCTCTCTGAGGCTCAGCTCCCCAAAAACTAAGTTGTCCCCATACGCCTAGCAACAAATGCTAATGCCTGTTATGTCACAAAGACTCTCTCTCTCTCTCTCTCTCTCTCTCTCTCTCTCTCTCTCTCTCTCTCTCTCTCTCTCTCTCTCTCNNNNCTCTCTCTCTCTCTCTCTCTCTCTCTCTCTCTCTCTCTCTCTCTCTCTCTCTCTCTCCCGGTAGTGTGGTAAGGACCATCACTATGCGAACGTTGCCTTCAGAGGCCGAAGAGTGCAATGCAAGCAATGTCAATCTTCCGTGCGAGTCAATCACCAGGTCAAACGTCAAAGGTAAGATGCCCCAGGAGTGAAGGGCTCATTCCCCTTTTTGTTTTGAATAAGAACAGGATCTTCATCTCTCCTCCAATCTGCCTGACTGATTATGCTTCTGCAAACCTTGACTCGATGGGTAGAGCAGTGCAACCAATGTGTAATCACTCTTCACCAAATTTGACCAAAAGTCGAATGCCCCCAATGTCGATCCCAAGAGTCAAGGGTTTATTGCCCTTCTGTTTGTAAGGACCTTCCTCAAGTTCTCTGTTTCATTACTGAAGTTACACTCAGAGGGGTTGCATGGTCATACATGACATCAGCATATCTATCGTCTTTCCAAGTCTCACATTCCTGGGTAGACATTCCCCGCCACCTTCTGCACGGATCGAAGTAATAGTATTTCTCCATGGAATGGCCTGGATCAAAATGATGATATCAAAACTCTGTGGTCCCCACCTCCATGGCATCAGAGAGAAGTTATAGACCTCAGGGAGGATGTTACAGCGGCCAAACATGAAGATCAGGCTTAGAAGAGTGAGAACTCCAGACTAGCTCGTGTCTTTCTCTGAATTTAAAAAGATTTGGTAGCGCATCCGAAGCCCCTGTTTTGGCTCAGCTTGCCCTCAGATTGGGACCAGAGAGTACCTGCGGCGGCAAGGAAGATTCACGTTCAATGAGAGAGTTACATCCAGAGCACCAAATTCCCAATGATTCCTGCAATACCTAATGGGTGCCCAAGTACGTTGAGTTTCTTGTTAGCGTCCATCGGGGATCCTGATCTTGTGGAAACAGACGAAAATGACACCATTGAAAAATTGAAACAGCAGTTACAGCATCATTGAGAGGGTACATCAACTCATATCAAGAGACTGAGGGAACTCAGCGAACTCAGGGGACAAAAAGGGCTCACGAGGAACTGAGAGGGACTCCGAGGGAGACCCAGAGGACTACCGAGACTGGAGTCAGGTAATTCCAAGAGAATTTAGCAATTCCGGCGGGCTCAAACACCCTCAAAGGGACTCAGAGGGACTCAGAGGGACTCAGAGAGACTCAGAGAGACTCAGAGGGATGCAGAGACACACAGAGGGACGCAGAGGGATCAGAGAGAGGGACCCAGAGGGACTGACAGAGAGGGACTCAGAGAGACTCAGAGAAAGGGACTCAAGAGGGACACAGAGGGAACGCTACCCCTCAAGATGGAAGGACTTTTAAGAGAAGATATAGAGACTTGGGACCATACGGGAGAAAAAGTACCTGTATGGTCCCAAAGCTAGATCTGCTTCTAGGACCATACAGAGGGATGCATAATGGAGAAATGCACTTCTCCCCCCTCTTTTTGGGCAAGCGGAAGTAGACCGCATTCACCGTGCAACTCATAGTGGTAACTAGAACGGATGTAGTGCTGAATGCATGGCCAGGTACCATATCCATAGGGGCATATGCTGGTTCTTGGAGGTTTCAAGAGCGATCTGGAGGGACTTCTCGCATCCGTCTTCGTAATTATCCCATCCATTTTTTTGTAATCTATTCTTGATTTGGACCATTTCTCCATTTGTGAGTGTCATCCTTGCACAGGGGCCAAGTCCCACTTACACTGATAGTTCATTCCTGGCCGTCGATCTTCGTAATCTATGGCTGGAAATTTAGAATTCCGGTATGTCGGACTCGGCCCCGGGAGTGAAGCTGATCTTCTCTGTATGTGTTGCAATTTTACACGGGCACTGCGAAAGTCATCTCCCATTCCTTTTCAAGGAGTGTTGTGGGAAGAACTGGCGTTTTACAGGTTACACTTTTTAGGCCTATATATTGTCACACTGGAAATCGGAGCGCAAAGGCAGAAAAGACAAAACAAGAAAAAGAAAAAGAAGTAAGGAAGGAAAGCCCCACCTGTTCGTCACCTCTTACGTACAAGGCCAGCCACGTGGATGACAGGTTGAGCGCTGGCTGCCCCCATCCCCTTGTGTCATAAAGACCCACTTGCACACAGCCAAAAGGCAAAGAAGTAAAGAAAAGGCGGAGGAAACCAAACCTCACAGAAGAAGAAAGACTATTAAACAGACAAAGCAAGTGACACATCCCACAGATAATCCAATTACCATCCCACAGAACTTCTTTTTTTTTTCTCAGGTTTCTTTTTTTGTGTTTTTCCTTCCTTGGTTTCTTTTTCCTTTTTTTCTTTTTTTAATCTTTTTACTCGGTTTCTTTTTTTATCTGTTTCTTCTACACTTCATCTGTCACCCCCTCGGCAGATAGGACAACTACGGTGAGGATGACGGGGATGTTCACAGGAATACCCAAGGAGAGTTGCATTAGTACAGCATTCAGCCGGACGGCTAGCACGAACCATCCCATCGAAACAATCCCGACATAGGACATGTTGCCCACATGTCAAGAAAACAGCAGGATGTTCGTCACAGTGCGGCATCATGCAGTTCTGATAGCGTCCTTGGGAACAGAAAGGACAACGTACATCTGGGTGATAGGGATGTGCACAATGAGGAAATGTTAGACACCCTTCCGCACATACGGCGGCAGTCGCAATGAATTGATAATGGTGCTGACACAGATAATGCACTCCACAACCAAGACGCACCACGTCTCTATCCCAACAAATGTCGCGCGAGAGACGCTCAACAATCCAGAACAGTGTATGATTCGACAAACCTCGCAAGAATTCATTTATGTTGACAATAACCTGAATCACCGTCCCACCATCCCACAGTTCCCACTGGGCAGCTGCACGAATGAGT